ACAAAAAGTCTAGAAAAATTTCAGCTTTCATCTCGTTTAACGTTTAAAGCGACATATTAACGCCTGCAACCATTATGTTTTATACGAACCTCGCAAACTTTCAAACAATTTCTCTTGCTCTTGTGATACCTGCGAAAGTATTCAGTATAATTTCTGGTAAGAATTTTGCGGACAATCTGATCGATTTCTCTTACATTGTGCGCTCGGTGAGACTGAAACTTTTCACCTCGATTAGAGCTCCGCCGCACGGCGCGGCCGCGGCCCAAGCAAACATGGCGAGCAACTAAACTTCTTGTCTATCTCCGTGTTAAAACACACGAAAGCACACTTCACTCTGATTGGGCAGAAAATCACAAAGATTTTCTGGCACCAATCAGATGCCAGAACGACTGCGATCGCTTGGAATTAGTCTTGTAAGACAATGTCCCCAGGGGCTCTTCCGCCGTAACTTGAAATCGAATCACAGCCCCTGGGTCTCCGAGGATGGGACTAGACTTTCTTAGGTGAAATGCCATTTTCCAGTAAACAACGTAAATTTTATGACATAATTCTGCCTTACTGAAAAATATTTCACAAAGAACATAATGGTACAGTAGGTCAATTTTCCACGCAACTCTCACGTGCTTAGACGTTTTCTACCAATAAAATTCGTTCTTAGCTACCTTAAACTTTACCCCTTTGCGTGTCAACTCCCTGTAAACAACCTACATTTTATCACGTATCTCGCACGCACAGGGCAAAGTCAGGATAGGCAACACCCAATTAAGAAGCCCAAGTCGTTATGCTTTAAAAAACGATACTTTTTTCTTCGTTCAGTCCATTTTCAGTTGTTAGAAGAACGGAGACCCAAAAACATCTTTGTCAAGAGGCTGTTGGAGATAAAATAGAGCTTTCTGCCTCAAAATTATATGGAAGAATATTTTGAGGCGACTATCTCTTACTGAACAAGAGGTTACACGGAGCCTATATTCTGGCCGGATCTGCGGTTCAGCGGATTGAATTTAATTGGTTCGAATTGAAGGTGTTGCTATTTTAACAAAATCGCTGTCTAGTTCTTTTCATTATTTGTTGACATAGAGAGTTATGGAGATTAAGACTTTGGAATAAGTTGATGCCATCCATGTCAATTTGGAAATACTAAAATTGCTAGAGGAAATGCGGGGTCGCTCAGTAAAAATTTTCATTTGAACGGGATGACTTTGTTTAGAAGGATTTCTTCTACTTACATCCAATAACAAACCTCTGAAGTTTTTTTTGCCTCGGAACGAAATATCGCAGAAGGCATTTTATAGACCGAAAGTTTTTTGACTGATCGAAATTAAAGGTATGTGGCAGCGACTTCCACAAGTTTTTTTTGTCAGAAAAGTATTGTTGTTTCGTCCGCAAAATAATCTGCTGATGGTCCAATCGCCAATGTTTACATAAGACGATTGTATTATCAAACGAATTTAAACGACTAGCCAATGAACTATTACCCTTCCCAAATGTTGTTGCTGTCGTCAGTACGTTAACAGTAGATCATGAAGTGATTCACAGTATTAGGTTTGTGCTTTAAATAAATATATTTAAGTTCACTTGAAAGATAAGTATAAACTGTAACAAGTTTGGTTACTGGCCCAGCACTTTAAGACTGACTGAAACTCGGTGCTAAAACTCAGCCTCGCTCTAGACTATGCTACGTAACGCATAATGTGCATTCTTCTGCACAAGAAATACCAAACGGTATTAATTATTCTGGTCCTTTTCAGCCAGAATAATAATTACGACTTTGTCTCTGAAAAAGAGGAGACAGTGAGAATTATTAGAGCCTACGAGCAGGTCGTTGTTTGGTCTCGTCACGCAACGTTGGAGAGAAAGCGTTGCGTGACGAGTTCAAATTATGACTGTTGAGGGGACTGCAGGAAGCGTGGTACCAATGCAGTTTATTTTAGCCAACAATTATTCAGACACCAGCATCAGTTACTAAGTGTCCCATTTCAAACCACAAATCCGAAAATATAACTCCTGCATGCGTAGCATGCCTATCTTTATTTTTTTTCTAACGCATAACAAAATGATTGCCAAAAGAACCCGAATGAAGTAGGGCTACAATTACGAGTTTAATTACGGGAAAATCCTCCGTAAACTTGACAATTTGTTAGCGAGTGGATGATAAAGAATGCAGACGTTACTCAAATTAAAGAGAAAGCTTTCACCGAAATATTTTAAATTTGTAAATGTAACTGAAAAGGCCTCCAAGCAAACTTTCAAACATTTTTTAGTTTTCTTTTTTTTTTTTTTAATAACTATATGTTAGCATATAGATTGGTGTATTGTGGTGTAGTGTAATCTGATCTGCGCAATTTGGTGTATCACCAAGCAATCTGATTGGCGCATCTTTTTTTTGGTGTATCTCAACGCAACGTGATTGGCGTAATTTTTTGGTGTATCACAAACCAATCAGAT